AAGTCATAGAAGAAGCCCAAGTGCCTATCGACCCATGAATGGATTAATAAATTGTGGTATATGTATACCATGGAATACTATGCAGCATTAAAAAAGATGGAGACTTTACCTCTTTTATGTTTACATGGACGGAGCTGGAAAATATTCTTCTTAGTAAAGTATCTTAGGAATGGAAAAAATATCCAATGTACTCAGTACTACTATGAAACCAATTTATAATCACTCACACTTTCCTATGAAAGATGAATCACAATTATAGCCCAGGATGAAGGAGGGAAGGGGAGAGGGACGGGAAGGGATAAGGGTGGTTTGATAGAGGGAGGGTAAACAGTGGAACGACACCTATGGAGCATATTGTAAGGGTACGGATCAAGTCTATCAAGTATAGAACACAAATGTCTTAACACAGATTAAGGTGAAATGAGGTGAAAGCTATGTTGATTAGTTGGATGTAAGCACTCCAATTTGTACAAAAAAATCAATACATTGAATCTCACAAAGGCATAAATGTATTCGTGATCTATGCATATATGACTTAATAAAAGGAAAAAATGGTAAAAAAAATAACACCATTGTTTACAAGCATATGCCTCTACTCAAAGAATGCAAAAGAACAGGCGAATACACACATGGAGTCAGCAAGTTATAGGAAAACCAATCTTAGAATTATACTTTATATGTTTGGAAGACGCCAAATCCTTTCTATACCTGGTGTGAGGACAAGTTACTGTTTTAAATTATAGGCTTTTGAAAATCATTTATTTTATTTTGCTATGATCAATCATAATGCCAACATTTGTCACATGACTAATCTCTTTCATAATGGCTTTCTGAGTTTGATGAGCAGTCTGAGTTAGGTTTTGTGTCACCAGCTGATGGTCTTGTGTTCCATAAATGAATAGCTTTCTTAGGGCCAAAATTATTGATATCTGGAGAATTCAAGTGAATGATCAAGACATCTGTCATACTTGCAGCCTTGATTTTAGCATGCCTACGTGACTTGGTCCATTTCATCTGACTAAAGCCACATTCTGCTTCAGCTGGACTTGCAGAAAGTGTCAGCACTGGGTCAACTGGTGTCAGGATGTTCGGATACTTGTGTTAGTAGATGGAATTTACAAAATCCCAGGTCAATTTTTGAATGTTCTGAAATCTACATGGGGAAATGAAAATGTAAAAGGTTTGAGATTTCCAATTTTATCCAAATATTTATGAATATCAACGAGTTTCCTCAGTTTGCTTTCTTGCTTACCTGGCATAAATCTCTAACTTTAACAAGCTCCATTCGGTGTCTGCCTCATCAAGTTTTACACTGGCACCTTCTAACACTGGTCCATAATGTGCAATCAGGATAGATACCTTTTTTAGTTCCAAATCTGTAATCAAGATTCAAAAAAGTCACATATAAAAGAAACTCACACAATCAAGGAATAATAGGTTCAAAATCAGAGGGCTCTTAGTATGAAATGTGAAAATTATTTTAACATTTGACCTTGTTACTTAAATAGCCAAGGCACATAGTGATATGATTTCCATCCCTAATGCAATAACATAAATAGATTCTCTTACAAATTTTGTTCATGGATGAAAGGAGTAGTGGTGGCTCACACCTGTAATCTCAGGACTTTGGGAGGCTGAAGTGGGAGGATCACTTGAGGCCAAGAGTTTGAGAACAGCTTAGGAAACATAGTGAGACCCTATGTCACTGCAAAAAAAAAAAAAAAAAAAAAAAAATTAACAACTAGTGGGGTGTGATGGTGTCTGCCTGTTGTCCCAAAGACTCAGGAGACTGAGGCAGAAGGATCCCTTGAGCCTAGCCTGGGCAACAGAGTGAGATTGTGCCTTTGAAAAAGAATGTAAAAAATAAATGACAAAATTGGTACATATAGATTACCTTGGTTTATCTTCGTGGGCCACAACTTGAAGCTTCCAATCATGGTGGCCCTCACCACATCTTGGCTGGCATCTGTGAAACAGCCTTGCAGTGTCTTGATGTGTCAAAACCATGTTTCTCATGGCAGAAATATTTTCCTTTCTTCTGGGGCAGTTACCATGAAAGTATGTGGCTGAACCCACCCTGCATTCTTTTGGCCCTGATCTGGGGAGAAAAAACAATAGTCCAATTCATTTCATTTAATTTAAATGAAAAAGCACTTGGCAAATAAATCCCCAAGTCAAACTTTCTGGTTTGACAGACCTCAGCTCATCCCTACGTCTCACCTTGTTTGATACATTTGGAGCATTTTTGGTGTTGAGTCTATGGTGAAAAATATGTTGGCAGTTGAGGAATTTCTGTTCTGATTGACATGGGTCAGAATGCTAAGGACATTAATGACATCCACAAAAAATAATGAGCAAATTTAACAATGCTGGCTTGACGAAGGGACTCCAGAAGGTCTTTGGCTTTCTGTTGACTGCTTCCGCTCTTGCCTTCGCTTGCCTATATAACAGGTTGGAAACAATATGGTGGTTAAATTTCTTAATCATTATTTCAAGAAGCTCAAAAAAGTATTTCCTGTTATTTTGAAG